GAAGCACCATGCTGTTTGTAATCTACTTTAATTACAAACATCTCATTGCAATTACTTTAAGAAACACACAGAGGGGGAGGGGACAGGGCGAGGGGACAAGGGGAGGGGACAAGGCAAACGGCTGCCACTGTGCTGAGGCAGGTGGCGGCGTCCGAGGCCCTCGGAGTGCAGACCAACAGACCCGTACACCAGGCGCACATATTCTACACACGTGCTGCACGCATGCTTCTGCAGATCATAGATGTGTTTGAAGGACCTGGCTTGTGTGACTGGGGGCTGCAGAGCCTGGACTCTGGGTCAGGCAGGCTGAGTCTCGGACTTGAGGCCAATTCCTTCCCAGGAGCCTCAGTCTCTGCTCCGAAGCCTTCTGCTGACCGCGCGAGGCCCAATCTGGTGGGGGGCCCCACCTCATGGGAGTGACCAGCTCTACTCCACGTTTACTGATTTTATTTGATTTTCTTTATTTGGTACCGAGGATTGAACCCAGGGGTGCTTTACCACTGAACCACATCTCCAGTTCTTTTTACTTTTTATTATGAGGCAGGTCCTTGCTAAGTTGCTGAGGCCAGGCTTGACAGGCGATCCTCCTGCTTCCGTCCTCCCAAGTTGCTAGGATCACGGGTGTGCACCACCGCGCCTGGCCCACGTGTGCAGATTTTAAACGCTCGTCACTGAAAAACACCCTCCCGGCGACATCTAGACTGGTGTTTGAACAAACAGGAGGGCGCCGTGCCCTGGCCTGGGTGACACAGATTTGGCTATCAGTGTACCCATGTTCACTCTAATTTTCTTTCTGCTGCTTTTCTGTATTGCAGTTTCATGAAAAGGTAAAAACAGGAATGAGGAATCTTGGTTCGTCAGCAGCCGCCACGGAGGGTGAAAGCCCAGCCATGGACGGGAGACTGCATTCAGCACCGAGCGAGCTCCCGCCATCTCCACCCAGTAACGCATAAGGCACTCCACAGCTCAGTGAGAAAGGCCCAGGGCCCCCCAACAGCGGGCAGGGGACACAGACGCGGAACAGAGAGCAGACACAGCTGGTAAACACGGAACCAGGTAAAGGAGTGGGCGACTGGGGGGCCACTGGGAAGGCACGGCCTGCAGCACCGCCAGACGGGCCGAGAAACTGACGTGACTCCGTTTCTGAAAATAAATAAATCAGCAGCTTCCACCTCAAGGCCTGTCCAAGGAAGCGGGCGTGACCCTTGTCCTGGGAAAGACCCACAGAGCACTCCTAGGCACATACCCCACTGCTGAGTTGTTTGTCTGTAAATAACAGGAGAGGTCTGTGGCCAGGTGTCCCTGATTCCGTCAGGCTAGGTGGGGACCCATAGCAACCCCCTAGCAACCTCCCATCAGCAGGAGACAGGGAAATACCTGGGATGCCAGATGACCCCCCAGTAGTTTATGGTGGTTGATAACATGTTGGGAAACCATGGAGTTCAGCATGTATACCCCTCGTGGCCTAAACCAGTCAGTTCAAAGGAACCCCCCTCTTGTACTAACCAATCACCCCTACCCAACTTGTTCCCGCCAGTGAATGTGCTAATCAATGTTAAGAGTTGTTGTTTGACTTGTGGAATGATTTGCTGTGTGATGTTGTAACTCATAGAGTGTCCCCCCAAAACCTATAAAATCTCACTGGTCACGAGACGGGGATTCATTCCCTGGGGCCGCTGTGTCGGGAACGGTTGTGAGTCCAGGCTCCAGCTTGCAATAAAGACTCTTGTGTGACTGCATCGGATTCGGCTCCTGGAGGTCTACTGGGGTCCCCGAATCTGGCATTACAAGGCAGGGGTTAAATGTGACCAGGCCATGTCCAGGCCGGAGCACCCGGTGGGACTGGTGAGCCTGTGCCTGGGGACAAGCACTTGGAGGTGCACGGGGATCCCTCCTCCGGCCGGACTCCCCGGAGCAGAGTGCTTCACCCAGACCTCTGAGATGCCCCAGAGGACTGTCCCCGTGGAAGCCACACCTCCCTTGACCGGCTGGGCCCCTCAGCCAGCCGTCCGTGGCACCTGCCCTGCTGTGGGTCTCCCATCTCTCCAGGGCCTGGCTGTACCTCTGACGGAGCCAGGGACACTCACGGCCGAAGGCTCCATCGCTTCAGAATCTCCTCTCACCGGAGCCTGTCGGTCCTTCTTGGCTGCAGCCTCCCCACGGTCCCGGACATAGCCCACGGTTTCCGAGTTTTGCCTCAGCCTAACGAGGGAGACCTTTAGCCCATTCCCAGTGGAACCCAGGTCTCCGCGGGAAAGCCCCTCCGCACGGCGTCCCCTCCTGTCAGCTTCCTGTCACCACCTACGCCAGCCTCCAGGACACCCGTGCTCTGTTTGTCTTTGAGTCCTCACCAGGTTTGCCAGAGGGCCCCACCCTCCTGTCCAGGCTTTTCCCAGCCTCTCCTCCGAGCCTCTCCCACCCTCTGCTGCCCAGCTCCTGAGCCGCCTCCCCGGGGTCAGGCGCAGTTACAGTAAAGAGCCAGTTTTCCACATGGGTCCACGCTTCTTTGCTGTCATGTGAATCCTGACGCAGGGTTTTCTTTTCAAGAAAAGAGGTTTATTTCATCTCATGGTTCTAGAGGTGCAAGGGCTGCACCTGGAGATGGCCTCCCTGCTGGCAGAGCCCTGGGGTGGGGCAGGGCATCACGTGGCCGGACAGAGGGAGCATGGGTACGTCTTTGGTCTCCCCCTTCTCATAAGGCCTCCAGGACTCAGCCACGGGGCCCACCCTGGCCACCTTATCTGATCACATCAACTTGTGAAGACCCTCCTTGAACAACAGAGTGGCCTCGCTTCGTCCTCCCAATGCTCAGATGGGATTAAACTGAGTACTGAAGACCTGGGGGACTCTCAGGCACGCTGTGGCGCTACCTGTCATTGTTTCTGGATGAGAAATGGCCTCCCGGCCAAACCCAGGGGACCATGGGAGGTGGCTCGGGACCCACGGGGGCTGCCATCAACGCTGTGCTCCAAGGAGACGACCCGTGCCTTCACGTCTAGCTTCCCGGGCATCCATCAGGGCCACAGCCGGAGGAGGTGGCCTCGACACCCTATAGTGCTCTTTCCCCAGCCAGACTCCGCAGGTAGAGGGGTGCAGAGGGGCAACCCTGTGGGCGTGGCCCAGGACAAGTCCCAGAAACAGCCAAGCCTCGGAGCCCTTCAGGACTTGCACGCCGGTTTGGAGATCTTAGTAGCCAACAAGGAAAGCTTCGGCCCCGGCACGAAACAGCTGTGGAGGCCCCTGGGTGATGGCTGGGTGCTAACAAGGGGAAATGGGCATGCCCAGGTGGCCCCAGGCCTCTCCTTGCCCCAGCACCTCTGGGAGAAGCAGGCAAAGGCCGCAGCAGCAATCGACTCCGAGGAGGTGGTCACTGCCTGGTGGCTCTCAGAGGGACCCTCCTAGCAGGTCAGTTGTCTCCGTGCCTTGTCTCTGGGCGAGGGGTGGGGATGGGAAGGGGTCGGGCTCGCCCCAGGCCCCGGGCCCAGCCCCGTCTCCCTGCTCCGGGGGCAGAGGCGCAGGCCAGGCAGAGATGCCCGGGAGCTCCTCCTCCTAGCCTCCTCACCTCCTGCTCCTGCTCCAGGCTCTAAGTGGGGGAGTGACAGAGCGCTGGGTGCTGTGGAGCCAAACAAGGCCAGGTGAGGCCTCCCAGAGTCTGGGCCACTCAGGTGAGGCCTGTCCCCGGAGCCCAGAGTGAGTCAGAGGGAGGGATGTGAAGGGGAACTTCCCCTGCGCTGGGTGAAGCCGGCAGCCTCTGGGCCTCCTTTCCCTCCACCCCCACAGTGTACAGGGTGTCCTCCTCCACTCGGCTTCTCAGGCTGCAGAACCAGAGGGGAGCAACCCCTGGAGACGGGGCTGCTGGGGCCCAGAAGCCTCAAGACATTGGGGTGCCTCCCTTTGGGGGTGAATCCTGCGGCGAGTGCTTTATGTGGGGTGAGCGTGTTCTTGTCTGTTCTTGGGGATGCTGGGATCACCCTGAACTCTTGCTGGGGAGTATATCTGTGTCGGCAGGAGGACAGGGGGCACGCATGGGCTTTGTCCTTTGGGGCTGTGCATCGTGGGGTGGTTTATATTTGGGGGAGCTCTCGCCTGGCCTGGGTGGGGGCAGGGCCCCCTCCCCCAGTGGAAGCTCTGCCCTGAGCTGCGCCCACCTGGTGCTCCCCAAGACTAGGAGGTGGACTGAATTCTGCAGACATGCAGGTGGCTCAGCACAGAGGTGGGTGAGTGTCCAGTGACGGTGGCTGGTGCGGCAGGATTTCCGAATCACTCCGCCCACCCCACGTCCTGACTGAATCCTGTGGAGCCGGCTGTGTCCAGCCCCAAGTCACTCTGTTCCACAGACCAGCTCTTCACCCTGAGTGTCTCCATGTCAGTCCAGCACTAAGGCAGAGTGACCCGGTGACTCCTCTGGGCAAGCTGGAAACCACCGAGGGTGGACGCACAGGAGTTAAGGAAGAGAGTAACCCAGCGGCAGCCATCGCGAGGCATGAACGGATGACGAAGTTGTGCTAAGAAAATGGACCATGCGTGCACCTTGGGGTTGGGTCAGAGGCACGTGGACGCAGGGGCCTGTCAAACCTCTACCCAGGCACCAGCCTGTGAGTGTATCTGACCCCCCAGAGCACCCGCACCTGGAGCATGTGGAAGGAGACCACCCAAGATGGCTCAGCAGGCGAGCAGGTGGGCAGCGCCTGGCACGGTCTGTCCCTCGGGCTTCTTGGCTGGACTTTGTGATGGTCCCGCAGGACTCTTATCTGCCACCCGCATCCCATCACCTCTGCCTTTGCTCCGCTCTGTGTCTGACCCTGTGGCCACTGCTGGCCCTTCTGTGACCCACAGATCATGGTGTAAAGTGCCGTCTGAGACTTGAGTGAGAGAGGTTGCCCTGAAGACTGGCATGGAGGGTGGGGCTGGGGCTCAGCGGTGGAGCAGTTTCCCAGCGTGTGTGAGGCTCTGGGTTTGATTCTCAGCACTGCATGTAAATAAATAAATAAAAATAAAGGTCCATTGACAACAAAGAAATATTAAAAAGCAAAAACGAGTGGCATGGAATGGAAGCGCCTGTGGGTGCCACGGCACGGTCCCACCACCGAGTGAACCAGGGTGTCTGTGAGGGACAGTGCTGCTGTGAATCCGCTGTCGCTCAGTGCACTCTGAATCATGCAAAGACAGACGCGCCCAGTCCGCGTTAATGGCACGGCTCGCTCCTGGCAAATCCCTCAGAACCTGTGCCTGTGACATCTCTGACAACGCGATAAGGTTTCTGCTTCAGGATCCTGACACGCTGCACGTGGTGGAGCTGGAGGGTGCTATTCTGGGTGCGATAAGCTGTCCACAAACGGACAAGTGCTATGAGATTCCATTTCTGTGAGGTCCCTGAGTCACAGATCCACAGGGACAGAAAGCGGGTGGGGGGGGGTTCCAGTGGCTGGGGGAGCTGGGAGCCAGCCTCTGGGGGACAGAGCTTCAGTTTGGGGGGATGGGAAAGTGGTGATGGCGGCACAGCAGGGAGGACGTGCTCAGTGCCCCGGTCGGGCGCTGAGCCATGACGGGGATCGGGAGCTTCGCGTTCCGTGTGTTCCCCACAGTTGAAAAGATCCTCGTTCAGTCAGGAGAGGCTGCGGGGGCCTCGACCCCTCGTGGACCTCGGAGCGCAGGACTCTTAGCTGGTGAAGTGGAGGATCTGAAGCTTGAGGGAGACTTCCCTGCCCTTGTGGTTGAGTGACGGTGGCCACAGGAGGAGGGATGGGCATCTCAAGGAGCAGAAAGTGGCCCCCATTGGCCCCGCCCGCCTGTCCCCAGGAGAACTTGGCCTGTGAGACCCTGAGGGAGAGCCCACCCAGCCCAGCTGGACTCTGCCCTCAGAGCCGTGGGCCGCCACGTTTGTTAGAGCAGAAGAGGAGCAATGGAAAGAGCAGCAGCAGTTTAAGTCTCTGTGTGACAGTCCCAGAAAAATGGCTGGGCTGAGACCTGACAGGATCACCAGCTTTGTGGCCCCCGTCATCTCCGGCTGCAGTTGGCACCGGGGGATGGGGCATAGGTCCACACCCAGCTGCCTCCCCGAGAGCCGGGTGAGTTCTGTCCACCGTCGCCTGCTTGTCAGGTCTGGTCTGTGGGGGCCCCAGAGGGTGGCCTCTGCCTAGGACAGCAGCGGCAGGCCCTGGGTGTGTGCTGACCGGCGCTCTGGTCCTCCTCGGCGGCCCTGCTTGCTCTCTTCTCCCCTCATTCCATTCTGCAGCGTCAGAGGACCACCCTGGGCTCCGTCTGCTCTGCACGGAGTCTGTTTATCTGGCCAGTCTTCCCCATCCCCTCTACCTGAAGGACGGAGCTCATCTTCCTTAAGGGTCCTGTGGGGCCTGTGGCTGGTGCCTCCCGTCTGTGGGCAGACGAGTGGCAGGACAGGGTCGAATCAGGGGGTAAGCTCTGGAGCCGATGAGGGTCATGCACGCATCCTCTTGGACCCCATGGCCAGCAAGAGCCTCTGCTTCAGAGGAGCGTCGAGGTACAGGTCCACCCTGGGAGAGTGTGAAGCGGCTGGGCTCCTGGACTTGGCAGCCACAGGCTCTAAGAAGCAGAAAGAATGTTGAGGCCATTCTAGAATGTTCTAGAGGAGACTGTGAATCTGTTCCAGAACATTCTAGGGAAGACCGTGAGGCTGACATAGAATGTTCTGGAGGGGACTGTGAGGCTGTTGTAGAACATTCTAGAGCAGAACTGAGGCTGTTCTAGAACATTCTAGGAGCACTGTGAGTCTGTCCCAGAAGGCTCTTTAGGGGACAAGAGGCTGTCTGAGAACATGGAGGGGCTAGGCAGGATCCCAGGCAGGGAGGGGCCCAGATGACCAGAGTGGGGCCAGCAGGGGGGGTGACTGGAGCTGGCAGGCAGGGTGGCCGAGCACCCGGGAGCAGGAGGGACGTCTGGCTTCTGGGCATGGGTCCTTCCTGGCACTGCGCATGGGGAGTCCTGATAGAGGTCCTGGCCCGGGGCTGTGCCTGGGGGCCCTGGCAGCCCGCACCTCTCTGTGCCAGTGTCTATGCATAGCAGGTGCCAGGCCAGGTCTTGGCAGGGACTGGAGGTGGGCAGTGTGGAGTGTAGACTGGTCTGGCCCCGCCCAGTGGAGCTGACCATCAAGTGCTTCCTCTGGAGACCCAGACATGGCCCTTGGTCCAGGGGCCCCGCCCACCCAGACAGACACAGACACCTTTGGGCCTCCTTCAGGGCTGTAGGACCCTTGAGGCATCCAGTGGGCACGGGGGCCTACCGAGGAGTCAGGGTGTATTTGCCTCTGCGGTCCAAGCCACGGCCGGAGCGGACGGCAAAGCAGAGGAAGGAGCTGAGCAGCATGGCATAGACCTGGTGGACAACCAGAGGTCCCCGAGTCGGCAGGGACACAACACTGGGGGGGGGAGCCCCCGGGGGTCTGGATGTCGCAGCATTGGGAGGGGACAGCAGACCCTGAACCCCCAAGGCCACCTCCTGGATCAGAGGCTGCTCCACCCTGAGGACCCTGGCGTGGCCCAGGGCTGTCAGCTGAGGCTGCCTCATCCTGCCTTCTGTGGCCCCTGGACCAAGGGCCATGTCTGGGTCTCCGCAGGGCAAGAGGAGGGATGGGGAAGGGGCATCAAGCGAGGGCGGGTACCATGAGGGCCAGGCCGGTGCTGGTCAGCATGAAGGCGATGTTCTGTGGCGTCTTCAGGAAGCTCCTGATGCTCTGCAGACAGTCCTAGGCAGGGTGCAGCGCACATGGTGCCCACCCTGGCCAGACCTCCCTGCCCAGCATGACCAGCCTCGGAGGAGCCACGGAGAGGCAGGACCCTACCCTGTCAAAGTCAGGTTGTGGGAACTTGGGGTGCACCACTTTCCTGGGGAGAATCACCCAGAGCCCTGGATGAGGCCGCAAGGGCAGGCAAAACCAAGGATCACAGGCTGGCTGCTGTAGGGCCCCAGGGACCGCCGTGCCTGGCCAAGCTGCCCTGGGCTCCTGTACTGGCCACGTGTCCAGCTCCTGCAGGTGGCCAAGGGCAACACGGCACCTCAGTGTCCAGAGCTCATAGGGAGGACAGAGGAGCAGCCCACGGAGGGGTGAGGGGCTTCCCTTGCTGCCCTGTGCTGTCCTCCCCTCACCGAGCACAGGGCAGCACCCACCGAGGTCCTCCCCAGAAGGGAGGTGGTGTCATGGCATGGTGGCATCTGCCCGTGCTGGTCTCATGCTGCCTGGGTGACCCCCGAATCTCTGCCTGCCCTGACCAGGAGGCCAGGAGGCCAGGCGTTCCCTCCAGATGTGCTGGCCAAGAACTGTGGGCTCTAAGGCAGCTGCCAAAGTGGCCTCTGGCTTCCTGACATTAAAGGACACGGGCACTTCCCACTCAGTAACCCGCTCACGCCTTCACCGTGACCCGGTCCCCAGGGCCGAAGCTGAGAGTCCACCTCCTGCTTCTCTTTCTCCTGGACAAGAACAAAAGTCCCTTCATTCTTCGCTGGGCCCCAACTTGCCTTTGATTCTGAGATTCCAGTTCCCAGAGGGACAAAGGACCCAGGAGCCACACGGTGTTGTCCCACCCTCCTGCCAGCAGGCGTCCTCCTGGCCCACACCAGCCTGCCCCTGCTGGCCCCTGCTTCCCCCGGGGGCATGACAGCCAGGCCCCGGCCTGTGTTTTGCAGTGGGTCCTGTGGACTGCCCTTGGGTGGAAGGGCTCCCCAGCTCAGTCCCTCCCAGCACACTGGCCCTGGGGGTGGGGGCGCAGTGGACGGTCCTTCTGGGCCTCAAGCCATTTCCCACCCTTCTCCGTTTCTTGGAGGGTGGCCAGGCACATCCACAGGAGATAGGGCCAGTCTATTTCCAGGACAGTGGGGCGTCGCAGCAGAGGAGAAGGGACGGCGGGCCAAGTCCCAGTCCAGGCCAGCAGGAAGGGCCATGGCCTGGCCAGGGCTGCCCTCAGCTCAGTCGTCCTCCTGGAATGCCCTTCCTGCTGCTTCCCCCAGCCAGACCCGATACCCTCTCTGGGTTCCAGCACAGAGACCTTTTCTGTAAGCTTCTAGAAGTTTCTGAGGCTGGGTCCACCTGGCCCGGGGGAGCACCAAGCTGGGAGCTGTGTGAAGGAGTGAGTGGAGCCCATGCCTGGTGTCCAGCTGACACAAGGGCCTCGGCTGAGGCCAGGGTCAAGATGGCTGCCGTGAGCTTCTGGCACAGTAGCCCCCTGCTGCCCCCCTCCCAGGGGACCCTTCCCTAGGCCCTTCCACGAAGGCTCCGTGGGTGTGGGAAAACCAGGTCAGGATGTCCGTGGGGCTCTGCTCGAGGCCTGCGTCCTGCTTGGCCAGGAGGCTCTGCCTACTCCTTACCTCTCTCGCTGCCTCCTCGCCCCGACACGGGTCGGCTTCCCTGCTCCCCAGAAGCTGGAAAGGGGACCTCTTTCCACAGCACAGAAACTGGAAGACAGATGCAGGGAGCTGTGGGCAGCGGTCAGGATGGTGGGGAAACTGAGGCACCCATGGACAAATGACCTAGGTGGGTCCTGCAGAACCGGCCCCTAGAGGCAGGGCTTCCTGGGTCACAGCTGCTTCTGCTGGGGCACAGCCACTGGCAGCCTGGGCCTAGCCAGGGGGAGGCCTTCCCTGTAACTTGGGGGCCAGTAACCCTCGCTGTGGGGCCACGGTGCTGTGGCAGACGGAGCGCCCACTTGCTCTAACACTCTGTCCTCGCCGTCTGGAAATCCTTGTCTGAACAGGACCTGCCTTTTCACTTTGTGTCTGGCCCAAAGATTCTGTGGGCAGCTGTCCGGGGGAGAGGATTGGAGCTCTTATCCTCTACCTGAAAGTGGGCAGCCATGGCCTGTGTCCTGGGAAGCCCCAAGGCTGGCCCAGGATGGCTGACTCAGGAGGGTGTCCAGTGCCCATTCTGTGTAGCACACTGAGGTTGACCACCTGTGGCATGCTGGCAAGGGGAAGGCCCTGCCCCGACTCACCGTGTCCTGGATGGCAGCCAGCTCGGGCCACTGGATGCTGGACGGGCTCCTCACCGCCTGGTCATACACCAGGTCGTAGGTGTCCAGCATGGCGTCCTCCACCTGCACCAAGAGCACCACGGGAAAGCCTGGGCCCAGGGGAGCTCCCGTGAAGCCCTGGAGGCCAGGCAGGGCCCGATGCCCCACAATTCCCCCCTCCAGGGGGAGCTCCAGAGGCTCTGGGCACCGGTCACAGGAGTCCTGGACTTCAGTTGTGGGCCTCTTTCCCCAGGATGGCCTGCCATGTGGCCTCCTGCTCCCCCAGGGGGGCCTGAGGGATAAAGCAGAGGCTATGTTCCTCAGCTGTGGCCCTGGGGAGTGTGGCCAAGGGAAGTGTCCACATTCTGCTGTGGTCTGGGCATGTGCAATGAATGGGGCCAGCAAGGAGTCTCAGGAGAGGCCTGGGGCCAGGTCTCAGCCCCCAAAGGTGCTGGTAGGTCCCTCTCCAGAGCCATGCAGAATCCTGGGCACTGGGTTCCACATCAGGACTCTGAGCAGGGATGCTGGGGCACCCAGGTTCCACTCCAGGAGGACGAGGCCACTTGGGGCAGAGGCTGGTGTGGACCAGGCTGGCTGGCTTCCCTCCTCACCCAACATCCCTAGACCTCCGTGCCTCTGCTGTCCCGAGGGTGGCTTTGCTGCCTCTTCCCACGCCCTGCCCCAAATGCCCTCTTCTTGACAAGTATCCCCCAGAAGCAAGATGGAGTCCCACCTATTCCAGGAAGGCATCCCTGACGGTCCCTGGTCTCCTGGCCCAAGGCAGGCCCCCTGATGCCTCTTCCTGTCTTGGAGGCCCTGAGTCCTCCCTTTCACTCCATGCCATGCAGACAGCTGGGACTCACCTGGAGGGCCAGGGTGAGCGAGGACCAGTGTCTGCTCTGGCCACGTGTGCCTGCCCTACAGAAAGGAAGGGGACTACCTCACAGCCCTTGTTTCTCTGGGGCCTGGTCCCCACAGCAGACCCCATCAACAGCCTGCAGGTCTGGGTGGGCATGTGGGCAGGCTGGCACTGGAGCTCAGCTGGCCCTGCCCAAGCCCAGATCCCTTCGGTGCCAGACAGAACTTCTGAGCCCAACACTGCTCCTGGCACAGATTAATCTCTCTGCACTAATGGCTAACAAAAGTCAGACATCCTCATGAGTCATCCCCAACACCGCTCCGTCCTCCCCCACCCCCAGGGCGCCGGTGCCAAGTGGCCTCAGACACTGCAAATCTGGGCCAGGGCTCTCTCTGGGCTTCAGTCTCCTGGCGTGTGCACGGGAGCTGAGCCCTGCTGGGCCACTGTGTCCTCGTGGGAGGAGGACCTGGGGAGGGGGAGGGGCCTTGTGGAGCTGATCTGGGGGGCCAGGTCCTCCTTCCGAACTGCAATGACTTTATCTCCCCTGCCAGCCCATGGTGGCCTAGAGAGGACCCCACGCTCCTAGGACCAGCTCTCCCTGTTCCTGCAGGGCAGTGAATAATGCCTCTGTGGCCGAGGGACTTACGTGGCCTGGCAGGTGTCTCTCTGACCAAGGGAGGGTGCCCTGGGGCAGGATCCCCTGCCCCAGACCCCACCACCTGGCTCCAGGGGCCCTGGAAGGCCAAGTTGGACCCTCTCTGCAGGGCTGGTTCAGTTTTGGGGTTCAGGGGACTCTGTATGGCCCAGGTCCATGTTGCTCAGGGGAAAACCAGGGGTGGACGCTGGGGCTCTGAGCCTCATCTGCAGCTGTCCAGGGAGCAGCCGTGCTGGCCAGGGGACTGAGCTACGGTGCTCACGTGCATCAGATCTTGCACTTCACGGTGCTGCGGACTGAGGGTTAGGGTCTGGGACGGACCCCGGGGCTCACCCCCAAGACAGGGTCTTCCCAGATACCTGCCAGGGTGTCCTACCCCCTCAATGGCCCAGGGTGGCACCAATAGGTCCTGGGGCCAGGTAGGAGATCCCATGAGGAGCTGCAGAGGGTCTGAGGATCTTCCATGAAGGCCGAGCTCAGAGCATTCAGGGACGGGACTTGCCCACCCTGAGGATGCTCCTCCTCCTACTGGGCTCAGTCTCGGCAGGAATTCTTAAAGGGAGCTGGGCCATCCATCTTCCCCACAGACTTCTGGGGACAGCAGGAGGTTGCTGCGCAGTGGCCATGAGGCCACAGCAGTGACCAGCAGCCTCTTCGCCCCATGGCCTGGTCTGCATCGCTGCCCTCCCCAGCCTCCAGTTGCCTGCTGGTGCCTGGGAAGTGGCATCTGGGGACCCCCTGAGTAGGGGCTCCTTGGAGTGGGGCATAGAAAGGGCACCCCACTCTCAGCCCTGGCCGGGCCTGGGCTTTCCTCCTGTCCTCAGGCCTGCCAGCTGCAGTGGCCCTGGTAGCCATCTTGAGATGCTACTTGCTTCAGCACATCTTAGGGGGCCCTTTGGGGAGGTGCAGGGGGACGGGGTGACTGGCCTGGCTGGACCCTGGCGCCCACCTCAGCCTTAGCAGTGTCGACAGCTCTGTCTTCTGGCCTTCCTCACCAACAGGCCTCTGTCTGGTGGGCCCTGCGAGGACCCCTCTCTCTTGAACGGTTAGTCCTAGGCTCAGAGCCCCAGCCAGCCCAGGGTACTTGGCAGCTGTCTGGACCAGGGCACCCAAGTTGTGATCCAACCTCCAACTGGCCAGACTGTTCCTTCCTCAGTGGACAGGAAACGTGATGCCCAAAGGCTGGCCTGGGCCTCCTCTCCTCCAGCTGTACTGCTGGATCCTCCTGCCCAGAGCCTTAGCTGTCAGGGGCTCTGCCCCCTCCAGATCCTTCTGAGCCAGTGGAAATGGATTTCCCTCTCTCTGGTCTCAGGGGTGGGCACTTTGGGGAGAACTTTGGGCAAGGAAGAGAGAAGAGGCCTCAACTCTGAGCCAAGAGCCTGGACCCCTCCATCTGAGCATGCCCAGGTGACCCCAGAGGGCAGGCCCTCCATCTGCAAAGATGTGGCTGGCCACTCAGAGGCCTCCAGAGGATCTCCTGCTACAGCCATGGCCGCGAGCCTAGTATCTTGCGTGTCTACTGGGGATTGGGTGTGTCAGGACTGGGTAACTGAGGGTCCTTGAGGACCCCAGGAGTCACCTCCTTAGCCCCTGGGCCTTCTTGCCCTGTGTGGAGCTAGGCACCAGCCCCAGGCTCTAGGCCTGCCCCCGGGCCTGTCTGCTCTGGGCTCTCCAGGGCCTGCTGGGGCACAAGGGGCCTTCCCTCCTCTCCAACCTACTGGCTTTCAGCCAGGATGCCATTGGACCCTACCCCTGGGCCACTGGGCAGGTCAGTGTCCAGAACAGGACAGCAGCTGTGCTGCCCATGAGGCCAGGACTTGCCCACCACTGTCCTCCAGCCCCTCCTACACGCCATCATCCCTGCCTCCAGGTCTGAGTCAGATCCAAGTCCCTCTTTGGGCATTTTCGGGGCAAGCCCTCTACCAGGCGGCCACATCCCCAGCCCATGCTGTGCATTTCCTGGAATGTACCACCCCTCTTGTCCGTCTCTCACCCACCTCCCCCAGTTGCATCTTCCAGGGCCTGGGGTGTCTGCAGAGGGACAAGGGAGGGGCAGAGCTCTCCCCTCCTCCCCAGGGAGCTGCTGCCCCTAGCCCAGGAGGAGACCTCCTGCCCCTGCACAGAGGCAGGAAGTCAGCCAGTGGGCCCCTTCCCCACCACACACTGGGCGCGCTCCAGCCCTCAGCTGCAGGTGGGACGGCAGGCACTCACCTGGGTGGGGTTGTGGAACCTCCAGAGGGCCACCTGCACCAGGCTGCAGAACACCAGGGCGAAGCACAGGAAGCCCTGGGAGACAAAGGGGCCTGGTCACCGTGTGCAGGCTGGTGGCCTGGGGGGGCTGGCAGCTGGTGTGCAGAGAGGCGGCTCCCTAGACGGAGGTGAGCGGTTTGGTTTTGTGGTCCCGGGACGTGAAACCGGGGGCTCTGCCACTGAACTGCATCCTCAGCCAGTTTTATTTTACATTTTGAGACAGGGCCTCGCTAAACTATTGAGACTGGCCTTGGACAGGTGATCCTCCTGCCTCAGCCTCCAAGTCTCCAAGATTACAGGTGTGTGCCCCCAGAACCGTTTGAGGTGTGGGTTTGAGCCCCAATCCTCCTTGCCTAAAGGGGAGACTTAGGACCACGGGAGACTCGCTGGTGGGTCCCTTTCCCGTCACTACTCCCTGCTGGCTCTAGAGGGCCTGTCAATCACAGTACCACACTGCCCGCCCCAGGAGGGGCAGCCCATCCCTGGGGTGGTGAGACCCTGTCCACTGGAGGGCTTCGGCGAGAACATTGGCTCAGGAGGGCCAGGCAGAGCCTCCTGCCCCAGGACTCCCCCAGGGAAACGGAGCCCCTCCTCAGGAAGGGAAGTGGCCCCCAGCCCTGGGAGTGGGTGGGTGCCAGAAGGTTGCTCTGCTTTGTTTTCAGAAACATGCCTGGTGCAGGATGGGTGCAGCCCACCTCACAGCTGGGCTGGCTCCAGGACACAGTCTGCAGCCTGGGGAGCCAGTCCTCTGGGTGGAAGAAGCTGGGGACAGGGAGGGGAGTCACACCTGGGGGTGCTGTGGCCTCCCTCCCCTCTGGGTGAGATGCCAACACTTCCCCCCCGCCCCTGCGTGTCCCAGGACCACGGCCAGCTATCTCCAGGCTCTAGACGTGTGGGGCACCACCCGCTGCTCACCAGCCCCCCCACACTGCCCTCCTTTCCTTCAGGGTCCAGACTTTTGAGACCCTCCCCGTTGAAGAAGCTGATGGACATTGTGGACCTCTCCCCTGACACTGCACATGAGCCCTCCCCACTTTGGGGACAGTGTCAGAGGTTCCTTTCCCAGACTGAGAGCCCTGGGGACACTCCCCACCAGAGACCCATCTGGTGACACAGGACCTGGGTCTCCACCACATGTCCTCCTGGCACCGTGATCCAGGCTCTGTCCACAGGGTTCAGCTCTTCTCTCATCAGTCCCCTGCCACCCGCAGCAATGCCAGTGTGTGGCTTGGCCAACATGCGCTCCGCGGGGACTCTCTGCAGGCTGTCTCAGCCCCGGAGTCATGCAGATGCAGAGGGGCCCCAGACATTTGCCAGGATGGCACGGACACAGCCTCACTGGTTCCCCAATGTGGGTGCAGGCTCCGCGGGAGTGGGGAGCCCTCTTCTCCACGTGCCATGTGCCTGCTGGGGTCAGCCCTGACCTGCGTAGCATCCTCTCCCCTCCTCTGTCTTCTGCCCCATCCTTTCTCCTCCTCTCCTACTCTTTTTCTTCATCCTCTTCTCCCTCCTTCTCTTGGCTTCTCCTTCCTGTTCTCCCTGGCCCTCTTCTTCACCCTCCTCCTCCTCCTCCTCCCCTCCCTGGGGCCTGGCTGAGGGCAGTCCTCCCCATCTGGAAGCCATCGCTCAACACTGTCTCCCAGCCTCGAGGCCATGAGCCAGCTCAGAGACCAGCATTTTCCAGAAAACATTCCATTCTCAGGAGAAAGAGCACCCATGGCCCGCCCCTCGCTGCTCTGTCTCTGCGGAGAGGGTCTTGGGCAGTGGATGGACCCCCGAGGCGTCCACAGTGCAGAGGATGCTGGGCAGGCCAGGCGTCCGCTCAAAATGAAAACAAACTCGTAAACAACTTGAATCGCTTCCTCTGGGCTGAGGGGCGGCTGAGCTTCTGGCTTAAGTTACTCCTTCATTTCCTGTGCAAAGGCTGAAGGGGGTGGGCAGGAAGGGGCAGGGAGGGGCAGCCAGGCACCACACGGGAAAAAATCTTCCACTTGCTGTCCCCTCCCCGCCTTGTCACATGCGCGTTCAGAGGCGCCAGGTAGAGTGCGCACACAGCCAGGCCTGCGTGGTGGCCGGGGCAGGTGAGGGCAAGCCACAGGGTCTCAAGTGTCCCTGTGGTGGCCTTCTGGGCTCGCTGTCCACGCTGGGGCCCAGGGTGCAGGGGTTCAGGAGCGTGTCTGGGAGCCCCCACTGGACCTGGAGTGGCGTGGACCCCAGCCCTGCACAGGTATGCAGCTGGGGGTCCCAGCTGCGCCTGCAAGGCTGACCCACATAAGGCCTGTCAGGCCCTGAGTCTGGCTGCAGCTGCTGTGCTCCCTTGGGGACCACCCAGAGTGTGAGTCCCTGCAGGAGTGACTGTCCCTGTGCTAGGAGACCTGGGGTCCTCATCAGGCATGCACTGAGCCCAGGGCTAGGCTGAGAACCCCCTGGCCCTGCAGACTGGAGGCTCTGTTCTCAGGGAGCCCCAGTGAGGCAGAATTGAGACCCCCGGCCATCCTGGGCCTCCTTGGCCACAGATCAGCTGGGGAACCCGGGAAGTCCACGGCAGGACCAGGCAGCGCAGGCCAATGAGGGTACTGACTGGAGCCTGTGGCCACCTGCTGCCCTCTGCCGCCTGCCATCTGTGGCCTCAAGCCCAGCTCCACAGCGCCCCCTGGTGTCTGACACGAAGCCCTGGTGCCAGGCCTCTCTGGGCAGCCCTCTTGGTCTCTCTGGGCAGCCCTCTTGGTCTCTCTGGGCAGCCCTCTTGGTCTCTCTGGGCAGCCCTCTTGGTCTCTCTGGGCTGGTCCCTCTGGGGCATCCCCCGGCAAACACACACCCTCACGGAGCACCGTCCACCAGCCCTGTCACCTCCTCACTGGGGCCTCCCTCTCAGCCCCCACACCAGGCTGCACAGGCCTGGTTTTAGTGCCCACTCGTGGCCGGTGCTGTTCCTGCCCTACGTCTGTGTCCCCAGAGTGGGAATCCTGGTGAGGTTGGAGCTGCTCAGCCGCCCCCAGCTGTCCCTGTGCTAGGAGACGTTTGCAGACCTGGGTCCTCATCGGGCAGGCACTGAGCCCAGGGCTAGGCTGAGACCCTCTGGCCCTGCAGACCGGAGGCTGTGTTCTCAGGGAGCCCCTGTGAGCTCCCAGCACAGGCCACCCAGCAGCCACTCACAGGCAGGGCGAGGCGAGGCCCGCCTTCGGGGGCAGGGGTCTCCACACGCAGAGGGTGGAGGGGAAAGGGGTGACCTCAGGGCCGGAATGGAGTGACCAGTGAAAGGCAGAGCACCAGAGAGGAGCTTCCCCCGCTCAGGTGAGGGGGAAGGAAAGGTGGCCATGGGGGGTCACGGGCAGGTGTTCTGGGGTGGCCAATAAGGACTGGTGGGGACCAAGGTGGGGCCCACGTGGAGAAACAGATTTGGGAGCAACGAGGGGCCCCTTCTACCAGGTTGAGGCCCAGGGCCTGTGAGACTGGTGGCCGGGAGGGAGGGAAGAGGAGAGCTTGGCAAAGGTCCTGCCTGTCCCTGCCCAGTCTCCTCCTGAGAGGAAATGGAGTCCCCCGAATCCTGGCCCCAGAGTCCTCTGGGTCACAGAACCAGGTCCTTAGGGGACGGCTCCAGGCTCCAGGGCCGGCTCGACCTTCAGGGCTCTGCTGCTGGGTGTGAGGAGGAGAGTGAAGCAGGCCCTGGGCAGTGCACTGGCCGGCCAGCACTGGCTTTTGCTTGAACATTTCAGGGTGCTCCCTGGGCTGTCCACCTCCCCGTCCTGGCCCTGTCTGGGGGCGGGGAGTCCAAGGTCACCGAGAACTCACCGTGGCCAGGAGGCCTGGCGCCTCTCTCATGGTGGCTGCGGCACTCAGGGTAGCTCCCAGGCTCAGCAGGCCCGCCAGGCTGATCCCCAGGGAGAAGACTGGGTGGGAGAGAGGGGAGGGTGGGGTGGCCTGGGGTGGGCCTGAGGCACAGAGCCTGGGCCTGCCTCCAAGTCGGGGGTCCTGGGGGTGGGCTGGACCTCTGGGGAGGCCACATTTCCCCATCAGTCAGGGATGTGCCTCCCACTGCCCAGTGACCTCCTTCCTCCCAAGGCAGGGGGGACGAGGGAGCAAGCAGGGCCTTGGGCGGGCACTGCTCCCCTCCTCTCCCGGCTTCAGGGGCTATCTTGAAGCTGCCACCGTGCCCCAGTGACAGGTGTCCCTGTGAGGCTGTGGCCTTATCAGCCCAGACCCAGGCCCCAGGCTTCCTGCTCCAGGGTGGCTGGGGCTGAGGGAGCAGGAGACCTGGACCTGCAGGCACACACTCATGGCCTGTGTCCCCCACCCTGGCCCTCTGGGCAGCCACCCTCCTGAGCCCCTTGTGCTTCTGCTGGGACATGCCCTCCCTGAAGCAGGCGCCTCGCTCTGGTGGAAGGGGGCCACCCAGCAGGCGCTGGCCCTTCCTCAGTGTCCTCTGCCCTCTGAACACTGATATTCCGCTGCTGCATCCCACAAGACCCTCCAAGTCCAGCTCCAGGCAGCCCCCAGTGTGGACTGAGCTCCGACAGCAGGGACCTCTGTCCCGTCACTGCCACGTACACCACACTGTCCCCACTCCCGTCACTGCCAGGTACACCACACTGTCCCCACACACCTGTGGGGTGGGAGATGAGGGCAGGAATCCCAGCCATGGTCCAGGACACGGGGGGTGCTCCTTCCAGCCCCTGAGCCCTGGTTCCTGCCCCAAGCCAGCTCCTCTGGACGGGCTGGGGCTGGGGAGCTGGCCCTCGTCCCCAGGGCCCTTCACCAGCAGCCTGCTTCCCCCTGTGCCCTGTGGTGGCTCTGACCTCACTCACCCCAGCGGTGCACGGCCTCCCACGGGTTGCTGTCCAGGGAAGCACGGCTGACCACAGCAAAGCGGTCCTCGAGGTGAAGGAGAGCCATTGCGGTGGCCATGGAGAGGCTCAGCAGCTGGGGGTGGGCAGGCTCAGAGCGTGGGGCAGTGGCAGCTGTCCCGGGGCGGGGAGCTTGAGGCCCCACAGGGCAGGGTCTAACCCCAGACCCTTGGTTTCTGGCCTCACAGGAGATGTCTGAACTTGAGGACCGTGGGGTGCCTCTGGGGTGGTCTCAGAAGCCTCCACCCAGACACCGTCACACACGCGTGGACACACACACTCATTGCACAGTTTCCGCAGGACCCAGACCTTGGGTCAATCCGTCTGCAGAGCCCTGACCCCTCCCCAGCCCAGGAAGACCCCCTCCCCTCAGAGCAGGAGGAGGCCTGGGAGCCCTGGAGCCCAGGTGGCCAGTACCCTTCCCTGGCGTAGCCCGTCCACCCCAGGCCCAGGCCACCCAGGGCCCTGGGTCCAACCCAGGCTCATCTCGGCCCTGCACTGTCCCTCAGGAGGATGGACACTGTCCCCAGGGGCCTCCTATCCAGATGTCAGGAGTGCCCCCCAGGGTTCCAGCTCAAGTGTGCCGAGGCAGACTGGGGCGGCAGGGCTGGCGGGTGTAAGTGTGCGTCCGTGTGTAGGCCTGGGCCACCCTGCCACCCCCACCCTCCTGCCAACCCCGCCTGTTACCAAGACAAAGAAGCAGGTGACCAGCATCTGGCACTTGGCAACCCTGACTCGCCTCCCGGGCCCCATGGTGGCCGCCCCTCTCCTCTCCTCTCCTCTGCTCCTCTGCGTGGTTTCCTGCCAGGCAGGGCCTTGCACCACAGCTGCCCGCCCAGGACGTAGGTGCATCCGCCCGTCTGTCAACACACCCGAAAGCTGGGCGGCTGGGTGCCCTGGGTGAAGGACAGGCAGGAAGTGCAGGGCCCCCACCCCTGCTCCCCAGGCCTGGCCCAGACTTTGCATCTGCTGATAGCTGAGGCCCCCCGGCTGAGGCCCCCCGGCGGGCGTGGCCCTGTTCCTGCTGGGGCCACCAGGCACCACGGGAGGCTGGGAAGTCATGGGCAGCCAGGGGACCCTGCGCCCAGGAGTCTTGCCTGGGGACAGAGGCCTGGAGGAATTGGGAGACAGGCAGGATCTACCCAAGGTCCTCAGGAAGTCCGATTTTCAAGCCTCCAGGGCATGACGGGCAGGCAGAAGGGCTACCTGGAGCTACCCAGGAGGACTGCGCCTCACCCACACCCCCACGAGGCCCCTTTGTAAAACACGAGTCAGTGACCCACACAAAATGGTGTGAACCATGAATGGGGCAGAGGGGCCTATGTCGGCCACTCAGTGGGCCTTGGGGGCCAAAGAGACCCTCCGCGTGACGTTATGCAGTCTGTGAAACCACCCCATGGGGTTGGGGCTGGCGTGAACCCCTGGGCCGCTGCTGGGTGCTCCAAGGCTGCGGTGCCCCATCCTGGATGGGTGGGCCCCCCTTCCACCTCAGGTAATGTGGGGTCTTCCTAGACATGAGGTGACCTCTGTGTGGGGGGAGCAAGGAAGTCCTCGATGTTCTGGAAGCCGGTGGAGCAGATCTGCGTTGGCAAGCTGGCAGAGGGCACCGCTGTGGTCCTCTGCCCTTCCTCGGGCGCTGGAGCCCTCGTCCTTCCCTGCACGCCCTCTGGAGCGCTGGTCCTCCGGAATGCCCAGCTGGGTCTGTAGGGCAGGGGCTGTGTGCCCACCAAGCTGCTCCAGGTGGAGGCCCAGGTGTGAAATGGGTCAGGGCCAAGGGGGTGGCCGAGTGCTTTGTCCCCAGCAGAGCCCCACTCTCCTGCCCCTGGCCTTTATCTTTAAGGTATTGAGTGTTCACACAGGACCCCCTTTTCCCTACCCTCTTCCTTCGTCTATGAATTAATTGATTTATTAAAATGGTTTTGTCTTAGGATCTATCCTAAAGGGACCCAGTGGCCAAAGCTGTTGTCGAGCAACAAAATAAACTGGGAAGTATTGGGATCCAGACGGAGATAAACAAAAGGTTGACTCTGTAAGTTAGGGAGGAAGAAGAGAAGAATTCCAGTACACCACGAGAGTCCTTCATCAGGAAGGTGAGGTGTGACTCTTGGAAGTACCGGTGGCTGCTAGAAGTCACAGACAGGCTGGGAAGTGGGCGGGCTTTGGAGCCTGGCTGGCAAGCACACCTGGGCAGGTGGTTGGCCTGCTCTTCCCTCTGACTTAGCGCTGCCCCTGGCCCCACAGCAGAAGCCCCAGGTTACAGTCTACTGTGATTGGCTAATTTTAAATTGGGACGGGCAAAGGAAGGGGGTCTAATTTAAATGGCTGCAACTGGATCTCCAAATGGCTACAATTGGATTTTTTTGAATTTTTTTTTTTTAGTTGCAGACGGACACAATGACTTTATTTTATTTATGTTTACATGATGCTGAGAATAGAACCCAGGGATTTACCCAGCTAGGGAAGCTCTTCCCACTGAGCTACACCCCAGCACTTTTGATTTTGAGATAGACTCTCAGTAAGTTGCGGAGGCTGACCTTGAACTTGTGATCCACCTGAGTAGCTGGTACTAGAGGTGTGCGTCACCGGGCCAGCCTTTCCACACCTTATAACCCTAAAATGTTTCTAAAATGTGCATTTTATCTGAAAGCCTAGATTTGCCCATCCGAATTGGTCTTGAGAAGGGCTCTGCCCATTGGCCCCTGAGCCCTGAACTGGGCCAGACTCCGGGCGGCTCCCTGAGCTCCTCCCCCCATCCCTCATTCTGCTCCCCGTTCCTGCACCGCTCACTCTTCCCTGGTCACTGCCCCTGCTTGGCGCCTCGGCTTACCTGGGCAACTGTCTCTGGGAGCCCTGGCGGTCTGGGGAGACCTTGCTGCAGGAGCAGCCCCCTCCAGCTAGGCCAGAAGGTGGCAGTCTCTGCCTCTTGAGGGACCCCCCAGCCACCTAGGAGACCTGGCACAGGGACCCCAGCCACCTGGAGGGGAGCCCAACCTTCAGCCCCCTCCACACAGCAGTGAGCCCCGGGGCCCTGCGCCCTGGAGCCGGGGGGCCTGTGCCTGACGTGGGTGGGGCCTCTGTAGACCCAGCCGGGCAGGGCAGGTAACGCACAACCTGTCCCATCCAGGAAGGCCGGCCTGCCATCGTCTGGGCACCGTGAGCTCACTCCCCTCCTGCCCACTGAGCTGACCTGTCAGGGCCAGGTGGGCACCTGAGTTCAGGCTGGCCTCTCTGCCTTTGGCCCTGTCCTCAAGTGTCCCCCATGGCTGAGACACACCCTGGGAGCTGCCCGGGGGCCACCCTATGTCCAGGTCAGCTGGCCCTGCAGCCTGGGCTGTCCTGCCTACCCTAGCAAACCCCCCCCCCCTCTGGCTTTCAGTAGCCGGGCTTCCCTCAGACCAGGCTCCTGGGCCCTGGAACCCTCAGCACTGCACATGCCCCATGCCCTGGACATTGGAAGGCCATCCTGTCCCCCACTCTGGCCCTTCTCCAGGGAGTCAGGGGTGGAGTGGGCTCCAGTGCCGGATCTACCCTGCTGGCACATGGCTGCCCCCAGGAGAGTCCTGGGGACAGTAGGCCCCTCCACCCGTATCCATGCTATGCCACCCTATGGTGCATGGGGCTGGCACCATGGAGCCCACTGTCAGGAAGAAGGCAGCCGAGGGCTGCGGATGGAGCCCTCTACAGCCTCTGCCTGGAAGCACTTCCAGCCCTTTTCCCCAGTGACCAAGGCTGTCGGTGTCACAGGCACCTCAAACCCCTTCAGGAGCCAAGGGACATTGCTGTGACAGTGCTCCTTCCCACTGGGGCTGCAGACCCCACGCAGGAGGCTCAGGGCCTCTCTGTCATGGGGCAGGTACAGGGGCTGGGACAGGGGCGGGGACCAGGGCCAGAGGGCTTCAGAAAGGGAGGCTGTGTCCCCATATTCCTAGGTGGGCACCCACCCAGTGTGGGTACCAGGAGTGGGCACCCTGACCCCAAGGTGGGGGCCAGGGGTGGCCTTGGGAGTGGCCAGGTGAGCCCTGGTGATGGGCGGGCGAGAGGCTCCTTGGAGGAGGAAGCAGCCCCCTCTCAGCTGGTGAGGGCACAGTGAGGGCTGGCCTTCTCCCACAGGACGGGAGCCCTCCCCAGGGTGGGGCGGCTGCAGCCCTGGCCCGAGGCCCCGGGGACCCCAAAGCTGACGCTGCTGACTCAGCTCCGCCCACTCCCAGCTGCCGTCTCCGCTCACCTCCTAGTCCACTCAGCTCCTGCTCACTGAGTGCCCTGGAGAAGCCGTGTCCATCTGACTTGGCCTCCCGGCAGCCTGGGCCTCTTCAGAGGCAGCAGGGGCTTCACTGGAGGGGACCAAGGCCCTAGAGTTCCATGGCCCTGGCTGCAGAGGCCACCATGACCAGTTTGGGCAGCTGCGGGAGCTTTCCTGCCCGTCGTGGGTCTTCCCACAAGGCAGGGTGGGGCCCAGCGGGGTTTGCCTGGCAGAGGGTAGGGTGAGGGTGGCCCCATCCCAGCGGAGGACCCGCACACACAGGGACTGGCATTGAGGTCATCCAGGGCCACCCTTCCCTTGGGTGGCCCTGAAGTGAGGTTCTGGCGTTTTCCACAGCAGCATCAGGACTTCGGCTGAGGGAGGAGGAGCCCGTCAGGGTGGGCATCTTGTTGGGGAGAATGTGGTCTTCAAGGAGTACAGGACATTGGAATCAGGGGACCGCAGGAGCCCCTGGGCCTGGTGCTGAAATGGCATCTATGATGGGCAGGGGTCAGAGAGTCTGCCCATGGACACCTGTGCCTGGGCCTGTTGGTCACCATGTCCCTAGACTAGAAGCCAGGGAGCTCAGGTGCAGCTGGACTGGAGTCTCACCTGGAGCCACCCCCTCCCCCGTTCAGGGTCTGGCTGGAGATGGCCATGAGCAAGGGAGGCCTGGGTCCTGTAGGAAGGACCGGGCTCAGCTACCATGATTTACCGCCCTCTTTCTTCCAGCTTCCCCAAGGGACCTGCAGCCACTCTCCAGGGTGACTGTGCCTTGGGCAGGGAAGACTTAAACTCTGAGGGTTGCTGGACGCTGGCTCTAGACTGACCCATTCTGGGTCTCTGTGCTGGCCCCAGGTACTGGGGACCACCCAGCACTAGGCTTCTCAGTGCGTCTCTCTCACTGAGCAGCAAGAATCTGAGATGCTCCCAGCTGGGCACAGAGGAGCACGCCTATAGTCCCAGCAGCTCAGGAGGCTGAAGCAGGAGTTCAAAGTCAGCCTCAGCAACTTAGTGAGGCCCTAAGCAACTCAGTGAGACTCTGTCTCTAAATAAGAAAAGGGATGCGTTGTTGTCCTCTTGTAGCTGGATGGCTTGTATTTTCAGTGCTGAGTAGTACTCCTTTGTCGGGATGTACCAAGTTGATTTGTGGTTGACCTGTGGAAGGCTGAATCCCAGCTTTGACAGTTATGCATAAAGCTGCTACAGACCCTCACTCTTGGACCTAAGTTTTCAACTGGTTTGCAGAAACACCCAGGCATGCCTGCTGGATCCTTTGCTTAGCTTTACGGATTGTCAGACTGCCTTGGGCAGCGGCTGCCCCACCCGCATTCCCTCCCATGGGTGAACCCCACCTCAGTACCCTCATGGTTTTGGAGCAAGGGCGATCCTGCAGCCCCATGTCCTTGGCAGCCTGTGGTGCTGTCGGGTCCTCAGAGGCGTGGAGTGGGGTCTCCTTGTGGCTTTTATCTGCAGTTCCCTGATGGCACTGTTACAGACATGTGCTTATTTAGCATCTGTGTGTTTCCTTCTGTGAGCTGTTTGGATGTTTAAATTGCATTGTTTTCTTATAATTGGGTTTAAGAGCTCTCTATGTTTGGACATGAAGCCTCTAACAGGTAAGTGTGGGGCAGAGACTCCCTCCCACTGAGGCTTGTCGTCTCATTTTTAACGCTGTCTTTTCAGAGCAGGGGATCGTGGCTCAAC